TTGTCATTCTCTTTTTATTCACACACAAACATAAACACACTTGTATACACGTGGTCTGGCATGATAAAGCACAATTCCTTTTTTTAGCCTGGTGGATTTGTCTGGCGGTTTCTGTGCGTCTTCAGTGACGCAGCACATTCTTCCTTCCTTTAAATGGCTCCTCTTAAACAGCGGAAGAGCTTAGCCTTGTTTTAAACGTGTTCTCTACCTCGAGCTCATTAAAACACCTCTTGTGTACAGGAGCTAATGATTTTTTTCCCATGCTAATGTAAGCGAGTGCCGTCATGCACACACACAAAGACAAAATAATCACACATATGAGCAGATACATGCATAAAACCTAAAACATTAAATATTAACCAATGATATTAGCTACTGTGTGTGATTAAGTTGTTGTTCTTGGCTTATTTACAGACCGAGAGGGGACACAGCAGCTGTTTGGATGTGTGATGTTACCTGGCAGCTTGTTGCCAAACACAAAGAGGTGTGTATGCCAAGACACATCCAATCTATTTTAGGTCTGCTGGGCAGAATTGATGAGGTGTGACTGAAAATTACCATGTTGTGAATTGACTTAAAGGTCCCCTCCAGACATGTATTAAGTCATACATACAAATAGTCTTCTTAATAAGGCAGTAATGTGTGAATGATGTGTTTTTTTCTGCAAAAAGAAGTTTAATTTCCAATTCAAAATCCTCGAAAAAGGCATCTTCTCCTTCCAAGAATCTATGAATATGCAAATTCTGAACTTTAAGTAGCCAATTATAAGTCTTCAGTAATTTAAAAATATCCTCTTGCAAGTATAAATGTGATGGTATGCTCCTTACACATATGGAAGTTTGTCCACAGATGTATAGAGACATACTAACTCCAATGCACAATTGCCTGACAGACCAATAGAAAGAAATCTGAAGTTACTTCAAAGCACAACTGCATGAGTGAAAGAGCACGTACTTTCCTCTGGGCCCTGTGTTAAAGCCGCAGTAATGACTCAGCACTTCAAATTCACAGGTGTCAGATAATCAAACTACCTGCTCTACAGCTTTAAGACCCCCCAAGATCTTTTACTTTTCCACTACCTCACCCCCCAACGGTTCTGTCTCTGACCTCTGACATTTTCTGACAAAGGCTTTTAGTTCACCCAGAACCAATTTAACTGAGCAAACTCAATAATAGGTAGGTTTTGAGCAGGAAACACTAAAGGGGAAAAAGTGCTCAAAGTAGTGATTCTTTGGTTTGTAATTTAAAAGTGTTTAAACCTCTAATATTTCCTTAAATTGCTTTGCCAATGTGTTTAAAGGTTTCAGGGCAATCTATAATTACACTACAGTGTCTCCTGTTGAAACAAGCTTTTTCTCGCTAATGATTTAATTTCTGATTTACTCAAAGATATCTTTTCTTACTCTGACCTTTCTTGCTCGATCTTATTGTATATTTCGATGATTTACAACTTTGAAATTGACATTGCATGCAAAGTGTCCTACAGTGTTTAAATGAGCACATACACTTAAAGAAGACAGTAATTTAAATCCTATATGGCACTTTAAAGTCACTCTTCAGATACCAACTCTTCATTAAAGCTACACCAGAGTCTCTAAGGAACATCTCTGAGAGTTGGCCTGTGAACATAATTAAAGCTTTAATCTCTGTTCTTGGCTAACAAGTTTTGATGTGGTCCCGTGGGTTTTGCACTGGACAACTGTGTGACCTGTGAATCTCATCAGATAGTTGTTGAGTCATGGTTAATCTCAGCTGGCGCCTTCCGTTTGCTGTGTAACCACAACAGGACTGAGCCAAAAACATCTCTGTTGTGGTTACTTTAACAATTCTTTACATTTATAAAGATGTATAAAGAAAGTGGACATAGATTATGTGACCAGTTTTGGTTTGCTAATTAATATCAGGAATCGCGTGTAATCTAACCTAATTAACATGGATAATATATAATTATATATATTTCGTATATGATGTGATGAACGGGTAAGCTAACAGTTAGGTATTTATGCACATGTCATGGAGTTATAGCAACCTTGTGAGGCAGCTGATCGAAGTTCACGTGAGAATCCATGTGGCCAGGCCTTCAAGCTGTATCCAACCACAGTGGTAATGGACCAAACAGCATCCTATGAGGAATTACCGGCAGCTATGGCATGAGCTTATGGTGTGGTTTTAACGCTAGATGCGCGTGACGAGGTGTGAAGTAACAGTTTGCTCAAAAACAATAATGGCGGGGGTTAAAGAGGTCATATCAGAACTGGAGAGTTCATTGAAAGAAAAGCAAAGAACGGCACTGAAATCTTTTCTTGATTCTTGTTACAGCTGGATAGTACGCTGAGGAGAGCTGCAGAGTCAGCTAATTCTCCGTGTTATCCTCTGTTAATATAAAACATTTATTTTAACCACTTTAAAATAATAAGAAGGAAGTTTAGAGCTGTACTACAATTTCTGAAGCACTTCACATCTTGGCGAAGCACACTTAAGCAATTAAGAAGTGAAGCACACTGTCCTCAAACATTCTTCAGGCCCAGATCTGCAGTTTAAGCTGTACAGTGCATCCGTGTCCATGTGAGACACTAGAAGCAGGTTGGATAATCCCAGCTGTGTCCTACCATGACTGTGTGATCCTGTCAGATCTGACCTGCTGTCTCAATGGTCTGAACATCTGACGCAACAGTGACTTATTTGCTCCTTAACAATGCACATACAGTACATGCCGACACACATACGGTACATCATGAAAGGCTGTATCGCTAAGCAGGGCTGGATTAACTCACTGGAAGGCCCCCCGGATGAAAGATGTGGGTTACGGAAACTTTTTCATTTTAATATACCCTGCCAATTATACTAAGTGGCAGGGTTAAAGTACAGTGTTACCATGGTAACTTAAGCGCATAATTGTACAATCGTAAAATGCACTTTATAAGCACAATATATATTTAAATAATAATAAAAATGGCCATAAAAGTTTTAATTTGGTCTCTTCTACAAAATAGGGTCTTAAAATTAGATATAAACTGAAATGCATTAAATTAGACCATGTGTTATGGTAAAGCTAATGGATAATTCACCCTCCTAATACAGAGCACATGTTAGTTTGTCCTCAGAGCTATGGATGTTAATAAGGTGAGAATGTTTCTAATTTGTAAAAACTGGTTATTGTAGGTGCAAAGCCCATCAAAAGGATGGATTAGGGACATTATGTTGGCACCTTAGACTGTAAATAACCCCTGCAGAGATACTGTGGGAATGCACGTTCCAGAGAGGGTCTCAAATGGACAGATGACTGGCTGATGACCTTCAGTGTCAAAGGTCACTGACCCGCCAGTTAACAGGTGATGGATACGTCCTAACAGCCAGTCATGGGTTGTGTCAGCTGGTACTAACAAAGAGCTGACCATATTAAAAAAAAACCCCATATGAAAGCAACATTGAATAACACCTTGTATGACTAAAAGCACTGAAGTCGCTCAGAAGAGACCGTCCAAAATGGAGTCTGTGTGTTTCTTTGGGTTTCTTTTCCTGTAAGTTATACACATCTAACAATCCACATTCCCCACTGACTTACTGTATAATGTGGACATTGAAACGGGAATTTTAAGGACCTTTGAATCAGGTGAGTGGTCTTAACCGGAGCTAAACTGTGGCTATTTTAAGAGGTCAGCCCACCAGCATAATGTGTCATTTGTTTCGCCTGGCGTCAGAGGTCTTAGAGAGGGAGGAGAGAGAGAGAGAGAGAGAGAGAGTGTGTGTGTGTGTGTGTGTGTGAGAGAGAGAGAGAGAGAGAGAGAGAGAGAGAGAGAGAGAGAGAGAGATATTAGATTTATTTGTAAAATACACAACCACAAACTCTGAAAATGAATGTCTTGTTTATATAACACATTATACGCACATTTCTACCCATTCTCGAAACTGTGTACGTTATAGACATTACTGTAATACAGAGCGGTGGATTTTTATTTTATACAACAGTCTCTGTCTACAGTAAATATGAGATCAACCTTTTAGGAAAACAAACCTATAATCCAGTTGTTTTCATGTCACAGACTCTCAAATACAGCTTTGACAGGAACTGACTGAAGAACTGATTTAGTGCCTGAAACTAGAAAAGATTTATTTTATTTGGTTATTTTGCAGTTTGGGAGATAAAAAGTGCAGAGAGAAGATGACTGAATAAAAACAACAAATTAAACAAAATGTAACACCTGAGAGTATTTCTGGATTTTGTCAATCAATTGATCGATCAGACTTTTCCAGATGTAACACAATCATAAATTTCCTCTTAATGTTTCCCATTTTTGTTAACTAATGGCAGAAATACTGGCAAGATAATTACTAACATACATATTTACATATTATTAAGCAACATAAGTAAATATTACATCATCTATGTCACATATAGACGGTAATAAGTACTTAAGTACAATTCTGAGGTATACTTTATACTATTTTACAACATTTCATTGTAGTTTTTACACTGCATTTATATGAAAACTAAAGTTACTTTGTAGATAAAGCTTTTAAGAATACAATGAACAGTTTATAAAATATGATGAATTATTAGACAAACCTGCCCCACTGAACATTAAGTGGTTAAAATTAGGTCCACCTTGACCTGCAGCAACATTAAAACACTGTTTATGACATTTTGATGCTGCATTTAAAAAATCCCTTTATTTTGAATTTCGCTGCCATAGATGATGCCACAGATGTAGGCCATCTACTAGTAAAATCTGACTTCCTAGAAGCTGAATAGTGCTTCACTGTGAGTCAGACAGCTTCCAAATATCCGTTTCCGTGTTTATTTTTCAGGCTCCAATTCATTCAAAACATGAAAAAAGTTACATTATTTTGCATGAACGCGTAGCTCAACGCTTGCATTGGCCAGGGATGAGACGTATGACCCCTTCCTCCCTCTGCCATGGCAACTTCAGAAGGAACCGGAGCAGGGAGGTGGAGAGAGAGAGAGGGGGGGTATGGGAGGAGCGACGCTTTGAGGTCCAGGTGGTCGAGACTGCGTAAAAACGCACCAAACACACGCCAAACACTTACGAAATAGTGAGCGTCATTAAAAAAAAAAAAAAAGAAAGAAAGAAAGAAAGAACCTCGACCCGTCCAGCTCCTGGCACCTATCTGAATGAATAAGCTGTTTGCAGAGAAAGCCTCCTGGATTTACTGCAGCAGAAATAACTCAAAGAGCGGAACGCGCTTCAGCTGGTGCGTCGCTGCGATCTCTCCAGAAAACGAGAAGACACTTCAGGGGAAAACATTTTATTGGCCAAACTTTTTATTTATTTACTTATTTATTTATTTTTTTACAAAAGATCAAGACGGCTTGTTTCAGCGACAAGTGGAGATATGTTTAAAAAAAGCAAGAGTAAAGTGCTGGTGGATTATGCGTCAGAGGAAGACGACATGTCCTGGCACTATCATCACTCCTACAAGGTAATGAGACGGATGGAAAGTCAAACAATCCACCGCTAACAACGAGAGTTCATGTTCGGGGTCTTTACTTAAACAACGGGGGTTAAAGATCGGGGGAATGATCGTGTGTAACTCTACTTTAATGTCTTATATTCCGCTCGTTCTGCCCACCGTTTCACTTGTTTCAGGATTTAGTTTAAAGAAACACTGCTCAAATTATTTGTAGAGATGTGTTTTTAGAGTGAACCAATAGGCTACTCAATTGGTTGTAAAGTAAATGAATAGTACATCCATTAAAATAATTATAAATAATCACAACTACAGTACAGTAATTACTCTTAAATCTCTTAAATGACTGTGGAAGCTGCTAAACCTCCTAAAAAGTAACTAAAAACATCCTGTTAAATTGAGATCATGGTGCAGAGAGAGGAGGAGGAGGAGGAGGAGGACAAGTGCTCCAGCTTAGAATGTCATGTCAGCTGAGGAGGAGAGTGATAGAAAATAGAGAGGTCAAAGAAGAACTAGTTCATTGTCTCCCCAGAGAGAAACAAACCGATCCTATAAACATATTTTAGAAGGAAGTAAAGTCACAATTATAATTGAGCACTTCAGAGACATAATAAACCCACAGGTATAAAACAGGAATATTATAGTTACAGTTTAAAGGTTTTTAGACTTAAATTTGTGTCAGCTTTGAATCTATTTGTGTCCTTTAAATCTTAAAGATAAAAGTTTGGACTGGCAGCACTTGTTTGTCAAGAGGGAGCAGCTCACAGTGACTGTTGCTGCTGTCTACTTGTTATTGGAAAAAAGAGAATGATAAACACTCAGATGCAAACAAACGCACGCACACATTTGCACAAATCCTTCGTACACATCCACATTCGAAAGGTGAGCAGCGGTGTGTGAGGTCCGGGAGCCTCTGTATCATCTGTATCAGCACTTGCAAGCAGCTGGGCTCTGTCAAGGTGTTTAGGGGGGTATAGGGGAAAATTCATGATAACACGCTCACAAAGACACACACACACAAACAGAGACACACACACAGAGACACACACACAGACATACAACAGTCCTGTCTCATAAGAACTAGCAAGCTGACACGTTATTTCTTGTGTAGTAGAATCCTTTTTAATATAGATTAGGCTCCTGGTAGAATTTAAATAGGTTAGTTTCAGGTGTTTTTCAGGTGTCATTGCACTTTGACTTACAGTAAAACCACAGAAACTTACAGGTTATTGTACGGGTGATGAAAACCTTTCAACTGGGTAATGAATCATGGCTGTATGGACAATGTTAATCAATACATTTAAGCATTCATAGACGTTCTGATGTATCAATCGGACGTGTGTTACAGCATTTGAAGTGGTTAAACTACACATTAGATCCCGACCAATATTGTTTTTTTAAGACTGATTTTTGAAGTGATGAATTGAACTTTTGAGCTGGAATGAAAATAGACCAATTCTGCACCGATATGATTCTGCAAAGGTACTCAGGAGGCTGCTTTCTTAAACAAATAACTATGAACATGTTATTAACATGAGTAATGTAAAAACTACAAGCCTTTTTGCTTTATATACTGGATGACATATACACCAAAACCGATACAATACAATAATATATCTGCCATAGACCGATATCAGGTCATCATTGGTAGGGCTCTACTACACATTAACAAATAAGATAATAATACAGGAGAAGATGTTAATACTTTTGTTGTTTCAACAGGAGAGAAAATAAAAGTTCATTTTAAAGCATTGTGAACTTCTGATAACAAACCCTGTCACATTTTTATTCACTGCCTGTAGCTGCTTCAGTGCCATGCCAGACAGCATTCACTGGATGTATAAATGTGTCATGTATAAGCAATTGGGAAGATCAGCCAACACCATTTCCCAGCATTTTTCATTTGTTGTTGTGATAATGTCGAGATCTGTGACCCTTGTCTGGGTTTTATTGGCCGTTCTTAACTTCTACCCTGGGAACCCAACGCATGTGGTCCTTACCTCTTTGGATCTGCTTTGAGTTCAGCTTGTGTGTTACTCAAGTGGTACCAGAAGTACTCTGGCATGAAAACAGCTGATCTGAGATCAGAGCTGCACTTCTCCTTAGAATTCCTGGGAAAGTCATCAGGGAGGTCTCGTCGAGTCGCCATGGCAATAAAGTACATCCAAGGGTCAGGGGTCGGATCATAAAATGTCGTAAACACAGTGAAGAGGCAGATCCAACCCGGTAGTGATACAGGATGAAGGATAAAAAGTTATGAAAACACAGTCTGGACATGCAGGCTTTTCCTTCCCCTCATTCAAATTGCACAGAGCACGGAGGATGAACGGTAGATTATCTGGAGCATTTTTGTGTCATGACCACGTATCTGTTTAGTGTCTTTTTAAATTCTTTTGGAGATCCTGAAGTCAGTAAAAATAATAAAACATAGAATCAAGTTTAAAGCTACATGAGGGAAATTAAAGGAGAAAGCCGGGGTTAAAAATAGGTTACAAAGTATATATTAATCTGCTGATGATTTTCTTGATTTATTGATAAATTGCTTGGTCTGTACTTGCTCATTACAATTTCCCAGAACGTAAGAAAATAAAAGTCAAAGGATGCTCCGATTGCGAAATTTTGGGCCAATAAAGAAAAACTGGATAAGACTTTATTAATCCCACACCACAGAATGTACTTATTACAGCAGCTCAAGATACAACACAACACAAACAGAGAGTTATTTATTCGTCCATTCGTTCCAGGAAAAAAACAAAGAAATGTTCAAAGATAAACACCTCTTCTGTGTTGCAGCTCAGTTTATTTCTCTTCTCATCCCAGATGTGAGATACAGCTGAACAGCCGCTCACTGTCCGTGCTGCTGCGGGGAACTTGTGCCAGTGCTGACAAAAAATGGCTTTAACATCAACAAGTTGGAAACAACAAACACAGCATTAACCAGCCTAAAACTGATGTAACACGAAAGATAAACGTCGGCCACTGATATCGGTGATTGTCATCTTATTTGCCGTCGTCTGTTAACAGCTGATACTGATGTTCGGCCAATTTATATCGGTGCATTACTTTATACATTTAGTTACAGTTAAAAACCCAAATATATATGAAATGTACTATTTTAACACAACCAACACAAAGAAAAGAAGCAAATATTCACATTTTGAGGAGCTGGAACCCGGACGTTTTTGAAGAATCACTTAAACGATTAATCAATCATCAAAACAATATTAATTGTTCATCGTTATTCCAGTAATGTTCCTTTGAACTGAGACAGATTCAGATTAACAATATAGATGAGATAATTTAAATAACATGTTTTTGTCGCGCAAAGAGTGCCATAGGCAGGATGTGGTTAGGGATGGGAACCGAGAACCGGTTCCAATTGAGAACAAGTTCTAAATTGTCTGATCCATCGGAGTCGTATACCGAGCTTATCAATTCTCTTTTATTAATGCCAGCGTGTTTTTCTGACAGCTGCACATTGCGAAACAAGGACATGAAAGTCACGTGTCTACACTGCTGGAAACAAGAAAGAGTCAGAGGAAGAGACTCTACTGAATACTGCTCTTTCTCTACACTGTGTTCAGACTCAGAGATAATAAAACAGTTGAAGCTGAAAACCAGTGTAGGGCTACTTTTTCTCCCACACCGAAAATTGATCAGGAATCCTTAGGGGGACTGACAAAGGTGCAGATGGTAATAATGGTATTGCGATCACTAAAAATCAATTCCCCTCTCTAGTTGTGTTAAAATGTATCACATATACAGTGTGTGAACGAAAGGTGGACAAAATAACAGAAACACTTGATATTTTAATCCAATCCAATAAAATAATCTTTAAACTAATACTAGATCTGCCTGTTTTTACCTTTAATTATCCAGAGAGGTTACAAATGCTTTCCTCAAAAAGAAAACCTCACTTTTACACACGTTCCAGCTCAGAACAACCACAGTCTGATCTGTTAGGTTAGGGTCAGGGGCCTCATTCAGGGGCCCCATGCGGTGCTGCTCTCTTTCCAGCAGCGTTAATCTCGGTGGTACAGGGATGGGACCAGTGACCCACAAGTCCTTCAGCCCAGCTCTGTTACTTTGTCTGACTCTTGTACAGAGCCACTTAAACATAATGCTGTGTTTACTTAAAGCCATTACAAAGGACAGTAGCTCTCTTTCTCTTTCTCTTGTTTACTACCTGTTATCTCAATCAAATGAGCTGAAAATGTGCATCAGCGTACAGACAGACACAGACAGAGACCTGCAGGCAGACAGATAGAGACAGACAATTATAAAGGGATAATGCAGTCGTAGACACACAGTGGAAAAGAGGGAGTGCATAAAGGGGGAAGGGAGGAGAGAAAATGCAGGATTTAAAGTTAATATCTGTCCTCCCTCCACAGTGCTCTAGGGCGACTACAGTACAGGCCCTGTGCGGCTGTTTGCTTTCTCACCACTCACTCTTTATTGAAGTTCAACGGGGCTGTAAGAGGCAGCTGGGAGCTTGCAGGAGGTGCGTGCGTCTGTTTGTCTATGGCTTAAAGCGGTAACACACCTGAATACTTCAATAAAACCACTTTAATTCCACTGTTGGGTGCCCTCTTTGTGAAGTGGGATCATGAGAGCGCAGATCAGGTCTGAGCGAAAACTTCAGACGGCTTCACGTCTAAATCATTAGTGGTGAGGAGAAGAAAGGTAAAGCTGAGTTGAACGTCCGTCGATGGGGCGAGGGTTCAAATCGGGGAAGTCAAAGCGTTTGTGAATTTCGTCTTACGAGTTCATCACAATGCCGTTCAGGTCAGCCTCAGACCCTCTACCCCTAACTAAAACATAACTCCAACCCTAATTCTTTTGGTGTTTTTTTATCAGTTATGTGGCTTTATTTGTTTTTCCCACCAATACTTCGCAAAGACCCACTGCTACCTCACTCGAGCTATTCTTTTAAGTATATCTTGTCTAGTTTTTGGTGAAAGATAACATTTTCTGAGTCCCTGGGTTTGGAGAATGTGGAGTACTGTTGGTGTGCAACGGCTTTTTGGACACTTCGGTTGGTACTTTGGTATTTAAATTCACTGTGCGTCTTTATTGCCTAGAAATCTGGCTTTTTTTTTTTTAAAGACAACACTGAGCTAAAATTTACACACAGACTCAGTCAAAGAGGGAAAGACTGAGGAAAAAATGGCCCCCTGAGGTGTGAAAGCCGAACTCTTGCTTTCTGTTGTTTGGAGCGTTTTCTTTCCAGAAACACTACTCTCTCTCTCTCTCTCTCTCTCTCTCTCTCTCTCTCTCTCTCTCTCTCTCTCTCCCTCTCTCTCTCTCTCTCTCTCTCTCTGTCTCTCTCTCCCCCCCGAATTCTCCCCTCCCCTCACTCTCTCCCTCTGTTCCAAGTTGTTAATGCTTTTACGCTCTAACAGTAGTCAGCAATCAGTATGTGTGAGTGTGTGTGTGTGTGAGTGTGTCTTTGATCTGCTCAGGTGGCGGAGACCCAGCAGACTTTGCTCTGACTTGTCCAACCACCGTTTCTCCTCCTCGCTCTCATGGAGTCGTTACATGTTAGAAGTTCTTACAGCTTTGATCATTTTACAAGAATTCTGGCTCCACTTCAGTAATCTCAAGCTCAGCGGCACGTCGGGTGACTTCTTGCTGCCCTCTTTATGATTTAATGTTGTAAAGTCTTTTGGAGCAAGTCCAGATCCAGTCATAAGGTTTTACAAGCACTGTGCAAGTCTATGACAACGGTTGATATCAGTGAAAATGGATTTCTTAATGAATTTAAGGAAATGACTCTTAAGGAGTGCTATGATGAGGTTTATGATAACCCTCAGTGTAATACTAAACTAGATCATGTTTAAGACTGATTTTTGTTTTGCCCTGTGCACCGATGTAGTAGTCATAATCTGTTAAAAAAACAAGATATTTACATGGCTATATGCCAAGATGGTGCAGTTCGGGGAAGCCATTAAAATGACACAACATGTGATAATTTTCCTTTGTTCAGATTTGTGTATCTCACATATCAAGTTGCTTTAATTCAAGCTGTGTGGATATGGGAGCCCTACCCGAAGCTGTCTTGTTTGTTTTATATTTATTAAGGCCAAATCTGTGACTTGAATGTTTTGGCTTCCAAGTCAAGTCACTGTAATTCAGTTAGATTGAACTTTCTGGTCATTATACTTGCGTACAATGAAACACAGGCTGGAATGACTTCCTAAAAAAAAGAGAACAAGTACAGAAAAATAGCAGGCAGATGTAATAAAAAGTATATAATGAATAACACTGATAAGTTATGATTTGCAAAATGATTTCAAGAGGCAGGTTAATCACAGTGAAAACTGTTTGCATTGTAAACATAATTTACAAGTCAAGTCTCATGGTAGTCGTCCAATTCAAGTATCAGTTGTACAGCTCTATGTATTCATTAATCATTATCACTGTTATTATTAGATTCATAGAACAAAGCAAAGTAGCAAAGTGCCTCAGATAACATGATAAAAACAATGAAACTTTAACGCAAATATTATACAAAGGATAAATGAAAAATGGAAGGAAAAAAAAGCCTGGAGACTGGCACACAATGGAACCAAAATAGCTCCACTCATAAACCCAAATAGTTTCATGTACTGTTGCATGTACTGGTGCATAGGTCATGAATTTGTTTTCTCTCTCTTTTGTTTAAATATGCCCTCTGAGCTCAGTGGCTTCCCCTCATCTTCCCCACTCCTCCATCCATCCATCCATCCATCCCTCCATCTCGCCCTCCAAACACAGCGTGTTTATGTTACAGCTTTAAAGCGGCTGCCCTCTCTTTTTACAGGAAAGTCTGCACACACTCCACATACACACATCCTTGTGCCACACTCTGTGGATGTGGTGTGTGTGCGTGTGTGTTTGTGTTTGGTGGTTGCTATTTGTGTTAACTCACTGCTGGCGTATGTGTGTGTGTGTGTGTGTGTCTCAGGACAAAGACATAGAAGGAGAGGAAGAGGAGGAGGAAGCTGTCACTGCAGTATCCAAGGTAAACAGCACAACTTCACAGGTATTTGGATGTAACACAGGCACAAACACGCTACTTTCTTTTAAACTTGCACTCAATGTACACACCCTTACCCCCTAAAGATACGCACTCGTCCAACATGCTCTTATCTGCTCACACATTGACTGCACACACACACTAGTATTGCACTCATGATGCCGCAACCATAAACGTCTATATACTTACGTTAACCTCAGTGCTCCCAATGCACATCAGCAGCTTCTTCCTGTCACATGATCAGAAAGTGTTTCATGGGGGAGCGGAGGTAGAGCAGGAGTGTCAGAGGACTACTGAGGCTGCAGTGTTTATCTATAAACACACCAGCCTTCAGCTGTCATCCCCTGCTTTATCTTTAACCTTATCACTGGAAGACTGTCTTGTTTGTTGTTATGGCGCATGTGTGTGTGTGTGTGTGTGTGTGTGTGTGTGTGTGTGTGTGTGTGTGTGTGTGTGTGTGTGTGTGTTCTGTTTTCTTTATCCTTAAACTCAGAGTTTGGAACTGTGGAGTGAGGTCACTTTAGTTTAAGGTTAATATTTAATGGATAATTCTGGTGAGCATCATTTTTTATCAATGATATTAAGATTGCTGAGATCTGGGAAAGCTCCAACACCAATAAAGATAATGTCAGAAAATAAGAATTATCTTGTAATGAGACGTTTTTATCTGCAGATAATGGAGTCTCCCATGTTGAACCGCCCTGTTGTAGCCCAGAACAGACTCAAACTCTACACACTGGTCCTTTAATGTCAGTCAGACTATTTGGAAGAAAAAACAAAAGCAAACAGTAAAATTATCACTCAAACAGTCTGTTGTAAACATTCATCACAGTTTACAGACCAACTTCCTACTTTGAGCTCCTATACTTTCTATTATTATTATTGTGTGTGTGTGTGTGTGTGTGTGTGTGTGTGTGTGTGTGTGTGTGTGTGTGTGTGTGTGTGTGTGTGTGTGTGTGTGAGGGATTATTTTAGAAATGTCTGGTTCACACACTTTCAGTTTACCCTACAAATAAAGTTATTTTGATGATCTGGCTAAACTGTTTATCTCGTTTACAACCTGTCTGACTGCCCATACATGTTTATGTATTCCATGATCTCAGCAATTGTTTTTTTGACTATGTATTATACTGGGAAGCTTTTTCAACACAGCTGTGGACAGTTTCATAGACACTATATCTCAGACAGTATGGGTCTGATATAAAAATAATCAGAATCAGAAACAGGAATACTTTATTGATGGGGGGAAATGGGTAAATGAACCTGTTACAGACTCTGCATTCATCACAATTTAAATTTTTATTTTTATTGACATTTCAATTTGTAACAGATGTTTGTAGTGCAACGTAGAAAAACCAAAACTCACATACATGAACTACATACATAAAAGGTGTGAAAGGTCTACTAAAGCCAACCAAATTGTGTCTTTTACGCACTCTGTAACTGTTACAAACCAATATTGGCACTAATATATGGAAAACGCCTGATGCTCATGACTTTTAAAGAAAGCCTGTTTAATTTATGTACCACTTTGTGGCCTCCTTTTATTTGGTGTGATATTTGTTTTGAGAGGTGTGAGATTTATGGCCCCTAAAACTAACTTTTTTGTATTTATGTTATTATACTTACATATTATATGTTAGTTCTACACCTCTTCTATATATTTATAGCTCCACACCTTCCCTGGCACAATGCTTTAGAATTTAGGACTCCACACATGATGGATTTATGAACAGTTGCTGCAGCACCATCCAGAATTTGCTAAACCATCAACAGCACTCAGCAAGTGCCAAAACAAGATCCAAGGAGGATATCTTAGTCAGGTAGATTTACCTATAGGTAGGTTTACCTTATAAGATGAGTCGGGTTGATAACATTTATTTGTCTGCAGCATCTATAATCATTTAAATAATGATTTTATGATGTGGGTTTGAGGACCTGAAATGGAGAAATCTGCAGCTGTGTCCACTTTAAACATTGTGAGAGTGAGCTTATGTGCTGTGTCTCTGTTCATGAAAGATATGTAAGATCTCCTGATCTGTACTGACAACAAGTCTTTACTCATGTGTGGTCATGTCTGAATTCTGTGTAAAGCTTGACTGTAAAGCTCAAATACTCGCAGTGAATTGTCTTTGAACTCTGGCTGCGGTCCTTCTGTATGTATAGCTACTGTAGGTGACGCAGTTCACAGGATATGTTTCATGACCTGTCCTGTTTGTGAGGATACGGGTGGCTGTGGCTGGAGAAGGGAAGGAAACGCAGCATTCTTTCGAGGAGCTGGGCCTTCTGGATGGGAACAATCACCGTGGAAGAAAAACAAGGCTGAAAATAGCCACAGACTGCTCTGACACTGTGGAAGGCTACAATTCTTCCACCGTCGGTTGTTTTATGCTCATATTAGGAAACACAAAGTAGACATGGAGTCCTGGAAGTGGAGTTTACCGTTCACTGTGAACGGCTGATTCTATTTCTAGATGGAGGGAGTTTCATGATACCATTTTCCAACATTAAATGAATCAAGCTTGCAAAACATTCTTGATTTTGCACTTAAAAACATACATTTAACAAGTGGCTCTCATTTGTTAAAGGGCCGGTGTGTAGGATTTAGTGGCATATTGTGGTGTAGTCGCAACTCATGGGCTTCCACCATCCCCTTCCAGGTGTGTAGAAGAAACTATGGTGGCTTTGAAAAACGCGGAAAAAGGCGGACAGCCTTATCTACAGCCAGTGGTTTGTCCGTTCTAGGATACTGTAGAAACATGACCTCCACAGGCGTCTGTAGATAAATACGGCACAAAACTGAGGTCAAACTGTCAAACTAGGCAGTGCTGATCCAATACTGCATTGCCTTTTCAGAAACATATTTTAGCGTACTGTTTATCTGTAATACAAGAACGTGTGTGACCAGGCGCACCGCCATTGTTTCCTGCTACAGAGGATTCAAAATCGCACAGCCAACATGGCAACGGCCATTATGCCAAAACCGAGGCTTTAAAACGGTTCTCCACAAACAAATGAATGACTTCACAATAGTCTCACACTTGATCAGAACCCATTTAAAGTACATGTTTTTTTTTTTTACCAGAAGCTAAGACTTTTACATAACCTCCAAAAGCAATGACCTGCTTGTTGTCTCTAAAAAAAGACTGTATTATGTCTGATAACCAGAATTAGCAATATTTCCAAATTCAAATGCCTCTTTAATCTCCCTGCTTCCATCTCTGGGGTACGAATGGAAGAATTTGGTCCAATAAGAGCTCTATTGTTCTGCCAAGCGTGGAGCTGTAGGTAAAGCTCCCCCACACAGCGAGCCTCAGTGAGCTGCTTGGTTTACCTACTTTTGGCTTGAGAGATTACTGGGCACTGAGCTGCTTTTGGATCTAGAGGCCCGGAGGTTAATGCTGAAGAGAATGGTGAATAGGCAGGCCTCTGTATGTGCACACATGCATGCATGCACATACACAGCTGGAATTTAGTTACACACACGTATACACACAGATACACTCAATCTGTTTTGGCATCTCTGGTTTCTGTCCCTCAAAGCTCAAACTACAGCAAATCTGATCCACAGTTTACACTTGACGGCGCGCAGGAAACAAGAAGCAGAGCGAGAGGAGAGACAGAAAGAGGAGAGGCTGGGTGTTGACAAAGTTGAGATGAAAATGTTGTAAATATTTTTTTATAATAGTAAACTACGAGGAACTGGCAGAATTCTTGCCCTCAGGCATGTTCACGGAGATGAGAGGTGAGACGAGGAGGATTAGAGTTTTCGTTTATCAGTAACAGTGCCTGAGATACCAAAGATAGGCCGAGTCTTTACAAATCCATCAAATGTCACATAGCTTTCAAACAGAGGTGTGAAGAAATTAAGAACAGTACGAATACTTTATTACTATACTTAAGTGTTTTTTTTCAATCTGTACTTGAGTATTAACCTTTTGCTTTTAACCCCCTACATTTTTACACAAATACGTGCATTTTTTTTCTTAAATTTTTAAACCAGGCTTGTTACTTCAGTTTTAATGCATTTGAGGGGAATTATGTATTATATTACGTCTTCCCAACATCAAGACCGGTGCACATCACGCATAAGAGACATAACATGATGAAAAAGACGTAACAAAACAAAACAGATGAGAGGCAGCATCGACATTTGAAGTTGCAGGTAGCTTTGCACAGAAGTACTTTTTACTTTTATACTTTGAATACTTTTCAGAGCCTGTACTTTTTCACTTTTACTTGAGTAAAGAAGTTGAATCAGTGCTTTTCTTTTATTGAAGTCTCTTTTTTTTTTTTTACACAAATCTCTGTACTTCTACTTGAATAGACAATGTGTATACTCCTGCCACCTCTGGTCTTAGATGAGATGTAGAGCTTGTGCAACCTGTATATCAGTAAGACAAGCTGTCTTGTATAAGTTCATGTTATCTACACTGACATTCTGAAGCTTGACCTCAGACGTGCTAACATATCTTATTGTACGTTCTCCTGTTTGCTTTGAGAAATGGCTGCTTTCATGTCCAGCTCGTTGTTTGCTTGTTGTAGCTGCTGTCGCATCCTCCGATCTTGAAGATGAAACGTGCGTGTTTCATGCATTCTTGCTCACAAACACTTTGAATCCAGCACCTCCTCAGTAGGTGAAATATAAAAACAAAACAAGCAGTTAACAGGGGTTGCCTGGGTCAGATGCACTCATCTAATAATGTTGAGTACTGAGAATGTTTTGATAACGGTAAAGCAAAGGCAGGCACGGATGTGAGTAGGAGTAAACGTTATGACCTTGACAATTGACATTGGGAATTCTTCCCAGGAATGGAGAGAAACGGAGCCAAAAGTTTGTTCCATAATCGCTGTGGAGGGCGGTATCTGTGCGCAGTGGAGAGCTTGCGAGGGCAGGGAGGAATTCTGATGTGACGGGGGAGTTTCAGAGGGAGTGGAGGGTCTTCCACTGGAATGTGCCGTGCGTTAGTGCCAAGTCAATGCCACTCAAACTCTCTCTGTATCTGGAGTTATTAGTTTTTTTTGTCCAGCAGCAATAAGAAAGTTGCCTGGTGTATGTTGGTTGTAGCTTTACAAATCTACCTTAAAGGAATAGTTAAACATTTTGGTTCGACATTTTCGCTTTCTTGCTAAGAGGTAAATGGGAGGATCAATATCACTTTCATATACAATAACGAGCATCCTGTTTCCCCCTTTGCATGAAGCTAAGCAAACTAGCATGCTGACCACTTAGCTTAGATTGATCCCATTCTCTTGTTGGTATGGTAAATATGAAGCTAGAGTGAAATCAAGCTTCATATTTATGGGCATTCTTGTCTCCAAGAATTCACTGTGCCCAGTTGAGCAAGAGCTAAAAAAGTGAGTTTCCTGGAATTTTAAACTATTTCTTGGTTTCAGAGAAACCTTCTTCTTTGTACTTGTTGAAGTGGTGTTGTATGAAGTGTGTACTTATCCTTGGTCTGTGTAATATAGCAGTTTTCCATCAGAAAGGGCTGATGGAAGGTAAAGTGGGGAAAATATTTGAAATTTAGCATACATACAATGATATAGATTTTTTTTTTAGGTGTGCTTTTTTTATGTTGATAAAATACAGTTTTCCATAGCAGCCCATCACTTAGCTTCCATACTGGTTCCATACTGACAGCTTCTCCGGACTGGGGGCGTGTTGACCACCATCTACTGTATGTAACACACTGACTATGGATGAGAACCTTATGTAACCCCACAAAAAAACATAACTCACCCTTTAACTTGAAAAGAGGGGTTTGAAAATGGATGATGGCTGTATGGATGATTTAAATCTGAGGGAGAGCACGTTTCATCAGTTCAGAGCCAATGAAGCCCACAGCAGAAAAAAACAAAACTGCACATTCATCAATCTGAACACAAGGTTTCTTTTCTACATTCCTGTGAAGCTGACTTTATGAAATCAACCTCTTCAGGGAACACAAATCACTCACAAATAGGCATCAGAGATAATAAGCTAACATGCAACAGATGAGGGCAATCATTCTAGCTCTGCAACTCAACATCAAATGCTCTGTTGTCTGTCGGTTTCTGTCAGGACGCCAAGGTGAAGAAGATCATGTCCAAGAAAGAGAGGAAGGAGAAGAAGATGTTCTCCTCTAAAGATGACGAGCACTTCTTGTTGACTGGAGTAAAGCTGGCTGACCGCAGAGGGTGAGGTTAAACACACATAATACTGTTATCATGACAGATGTTTGCCCATGTACTGACGCTGCGTTTACATGAAATTCAAGTATCAATAACTTATAAGATTCCCTGTATACAAGCACTTTTAAAGACATTTAAAGGGATAGTTTGATATTTTTGACATATGCTTATTGGCTTTTTTAGATCTATAGTATGAAGCTAGAGCCAGAGTTATATGGCTCTGTCCAAAGAAAAAGAATTGCCTACTATCACCTCCAAAGTTTATTAATTAACACGTTATATCTCATTTGTATCTTTGGACAGAGCCAGGCTCAGTATGCTAAGCTAAGCCTACTGACTCCAACTTACTCAGCGTACAGTCATGAGAGTACCTCTGGCCAAGAAATAAAAATAAAAAATCTCTACTATACCTTTAAAGGACCAGTTTGCAATTTTTAGTGGCATCTAGCGGTGAATTTTCAGATTGAAACCAACTGTATGACCGCTCGCCTTTTAAGCCTGTAGGAGAAGCTACGGTAGCTGTAAATGTCACAAATAAAAATGCAAAAAGCCCTATCAAGAACTGGCCATTACAAGCTTTGTAAAGAACCAATAGGGCAATAGTGGCAGGGCTGTTGTACTGGATTACATTAATAAAGTGGTCAGTGTGGTGTATTTAAAGTCTGTTGTGGATCGTCGCCGTGGCCTGAACACAACCAAACTGTAAAAGTTATTCACCACTTTTCAATAATACTAGATTTTTGTAACATTGTGCTAAAAGTATTGGTGTGACCACCATCATGTAAAATGTATGTCAGACCTGCCCAGATCCTTCCTGGTCCACATCATTGTAAGGGTTATATACTCAGCGACCATCAACGGTGAAGTGTGTGTCGCAGAAATATTCACAAACCTGATTAGAAATAATGGAGTCACGTCCAACCACTTGTATTTGTTTATATGAGCTTCATTTGCCAGCAGTTATTAACTTTCAGACCTCTGGAGGAAGTGGAACATGTATGGCGAGGAAACGCTAAATTAATCACCCCTGTGTGACAAACAACCAGGAATTTCTATACAATGGCCTGCTGTATGGGGAACGTTCCCCTCCCCAGTGTAGAGATGTCTCATACACACTCACGCAATCCTATTTATAGTTCAGATGAGAGGTCAACTGATTATTCCATACGCTGAAAAGTTTGTGCTTCTCTTCCTCTCCCTGGTTTTCTCCAAAGGTCTCACAAGAAAATCAAGGATGACGAGAAGGAGAAGGAAAAGAAGGACAAGCCAGAGAAGGGCCACTGTTTCTGGGAGAGCGTTACCATGACGATGAGACAGATCTCGCCCACCAAAAAACTGGAGAAGATGGAGGGCTGGGAGCCGCCTCGCCTGGAGAACTTAACCGAGACTGTGACTGACGAAGCCCCAGAGGACAAGAGCCAGAACGGGAACACGCCAGTGTCCTTCCCAGACTCTCTAAGCCTCCCATTGGAATTGTCCTCCTGGGCGGGCCGGGGTCTTGAGGAGGACTCCTCCCGCTATGCTAACCTGTCAGACTCCAAGGATTCAGCAGCCGCCGTTAGATGGACAGCCCGCGCTAAAGTCAAGCTGGCCGGCATTAGCAGGATGAGCAGAGGGATTGTGTCAGAAAGCGCTTGGGAGGGGTTTAAATAGTAGCCATTTTACCTCTGATACCCCCTCCCTCCTTACCTGTGTACCATCAATAAAGAGGATGAGGACCTGAACCAAATATCTGCTTGTCTCTGTAGTCTAGTTCTGGACGAAACCGGTGTTTATGTCAGCTGGTATTGAGATGCTGTAGTCGAGCCCCGAACATAACACATGAAGTTTGTCTTTATTATTTTAGCCTTTAAGTCCTCGAAGACAACATATGTCTGTTTTTATCAATGGGCTATTTTGGCAGGACTGCTCCTTTAGGATCACTGACATAAACTGTAAATTACAGCAAATAAAAGCCTTAAACTACTGTACCATTTTAACTGTGATATCCACTGGCATTTAGATATTTTATATTACCAAGAAATGAAAAATTTGTGATTTTTATATAATTATTGTGGCCGTCAATGGTAGAGAATCAATGAAGAATATGCAAACCTGCTACTGAAGACTTCATGTTGGTTTTCACTTCCTTTTGTCTATGCAGTTAGAGTGAAGAATGTGAGTCTGATGCCTCAACGTATACATCAATGATGGGCTTAAAATCTGTGCAATCATGTGTGTGTGTGTGTGTGTGAGAGAGAGAGAGAGAGTGTGTGTGGGTGGACATGCACGCACATCTGTTTTGGTGAATCGCAGCTGGCATCGCGAAGGAGATGTGAAGTTCTGTTGGGAGTATGTAGGGGAAATAAATGTGAGGAGCAATCAGAGCAACCCCCACAGTGACATTGACTGATAGATGTTTAAATCTGATTCTGAGTAATATTTATAAAATCTGAACGGATGAAACGATAAAAAACAAACTCTGTGCATAGTTGTTTCTCAAGAAAAGCAGCGACTCCGTGCACCTTTGCCTTGTAACAATAGAGTGACATCATGTGTTTGCTGTTAATGTGAACCAAACGAAATCCTCCCGTCAGCACAAACCTGATGTGCTCTTCACATTGTCTAACGCAGGTGCAGGTGGAACAACCCAGCATGCACCTGTGCTGCACCAGCCTTTCAGACACATCTTGGTTTCCAGTTACAAACCAGTGTCCCTGGATGTTGTTAGCTCCACCAGCAGTAAAAGTGTTTGTGTGCTGCATTATAAAAAGCTGGTTCTTAAATGCTGTTTGCATATCTGTATATTGTATAGGACTGAGATAATGTAATTTCATATCTACAATGATTTTCTCTTTTAGGTAAATGAGATGCCACTGGTCTTTGCTTCTTTTTTCTCTTCTTTGTTTTAATCTGCTTACTGAATTTGTTTGATACTGAAGTCTGCTTCAATGCAGCCACACAGATACAGGTCTACTTCCAGGGATGTCTGTATCCTGTATTTGTTCACTAGAAGGCTGGGTCACATTTTCTCAAGCAGAATAAAGATTTAGTTTGACTGTCTGGCTCTACTTCTTTCAACAGTTTGCAGTCTGGCGTAAACCTACTCTTTGATTTACCAGACTTTTCTTTCACCACCCAGATGGTTTTCGCTGATATAGTGGCCGGAACAGAGAGTGTACCCAAGTTCTTCATCAGAGGGCATTTGAAGGTAGCCCGCCACTTGTAAAACATACTGTAACAGACTGCACAGTTACCACAGAAATTATTATTCTACTGTATAAAACACAACCTCAATTTCCACATTTGCACACAAGTCTTTATACTTTCAATTTAAATTCAGAGTGGAGCAAATTAGGAAGAATATAAATCATGAAACTTTGCTCCTCCTTTGTTCGATGACAACTTTTCCTTGCTGTTTTAGCTGAAAATACATATTATATCCCCATCCATGGAGTGGAAACTACGATTAGGTCAAGTCTTATAATATAAATATATTAAATATATTTATCCAATGAACAAAAGGACAATAGATTCCTTGAAAAGAAAACAGGTTTTTAGAAATATTTAATTCTTGTATAGCTAGTTCCTGTCCCATAAAAGTCACAATAGTACCATAAAGAGTATGGGAACAGTAAAGGATTATTACAAAAGTTGGAGGAAGGATACAAAACCTTTTTTTCCGCCATAAATAATGTTTTACATTTCCTGTCTGTCACTTGACAGTTTTGACAAAAGTAGATTGTAAAAACCTGTAGGGCTAATGAAGTTTTACATTATCTTCTCTTAGTGTCGACGCTTCCAATGTATGGAGCACAGCAACAACTCACAGAGGACAACATACAGGTTGTAAACAGAGACTCAAACACGACATGCATTCAGTTATTGCAGGAAAATACCACCAAAAGAGAACAGAGCAAAAAGCAGAATAGTTTAACGCCATTAAATGAACCACACGAGTCGCCTTATTCTGCCACACTGTAAGATTACCTTTTACAAAAAACATTACCAGTCACCACTTGCCTACCATTAACATGCTACAACTCCTTTTACATATAAATCATTTCACATATTCATAATACATTTACATATATTTTTTTTCTCTCTTATAGCCTTTTTTTTTTGTCCAGAAGGCAAACATTTGTGCGGAGGGAAGAAAAACATTAAAGTTCCTTTTATATTTCACCCATCACCGACATTCTTGAACTCAACAAACTAACACCTTTAATCTCCTATGTCTCATGGAAACACTTGTGCGTAAAGAAATGAAGAGATGAAAGAAAGTCCTCTCTTTCAGTTGAAGCCCTTTTGTATTTGGGTAAACGACATCTCGGGTAAACTTCGCTTGAAGAGCAACACTGAGGGTTTTAGAACTTGAAGAGGTCGATAAAGTGCTGCGGAGAGATGGGCATGAGGCAGCTGTCTGGATCGTTGGCTGTGCATGGATGGCCACAGTCCTGGAACACAGTCAAAAAACACATTATCAGAAAAAAAATAGACCAGAGGAGCAGCTACGCATACAGTTCACACACAGCAACTGGACATGGGACACTGGAGCCGGTTGCACCAGCTGGTAAGTAAAAAAAACTTGGTGTAGTTACAACACTGAATTAAATACTGCACCATGCGAACTAGTTCTTATGTAGAGATTACTTAAACAAGCAATAACTGAAGTTTTGGCCAGTGATTCCCAACCTGGGGATCGGGACCCCCACTAGGGGTCGCAAAGCCTTCTTGATTTTAAGGGTTGTACGAAAACTTATATATTTAAAAATATATATAGTCAACCTATATCTCAGATATTTCGTCCATTTCTCTGGAGAAAGCTAAATCAACATTGTTATTTTTAAAGTTTATATTATTATTTAAGATATAAACATTGAAGGCCTGAACATTAACTATATTCACAGATCCTTCCTTCTCTGCTAAACAGCCTCTGCAGTACGTAGTTAAACAACAAAAGAGCTACTAGAACAACGGCAAAGCATCAGTAAGAAGAAAACATGTTTTTTTAGGAGGAGAAGCCTATTAGGTATGTATGGTTGTTTTAAAAACATAATACAGAGAGAATAGTATAAAAAGTTCCCTAAAAATATGCTCAAAATTCACTCGCTTTACACAAACTTACTGTAGTTATTATAATCACTGACAAGGTCTAAATATACCACTGATATATATACTGTATACTATCACCTTTTAAATTGATACTAGCAGCGGTTTATTAACACATCTTGCAGATACAAAATATTATGTGACGAATGTAGGTCCAATATTCCCTGTCTTTGCGCAGTTTTTGGTCTCCTGAAGGAAATATCTGACTCTTTAGCAGCTAAATGCTCCACCATGTTCACCAGTTATCTGCTAACTTTGTCAGTCTTGAAATGTTTAAATTACTGTTGTAAATTGCTATAAAAATGATAATATGTATGCTTCACTCTAAAACTATGACAATGAGTGTCAACAATAACTTGAATTAGGTAGATATGCCTAGCTATGTTAACTAAAAATGTATCTACAGAGCAGAAGTTTCTCACATATGTTAAGAAAGCGACATTAAACTGAGTTCCCCAAAATAACAAAATATACTAAAGAAATTTGACCAAATTAAGTTGTTTAATCGGATATTTCCCTCTTGACTCCAAATTTCATGAATACGTATATCTCACAAACACAAATATTTTTCAATGTATGCATAAAGAAAAGAAACATAACACATAGATTTACAAAGGACTGGCAGTCAAACACAATTTATTAATTCACCTATTTTTAAAAAGAAAAAATGTAAGCTACAGATGTAAAGAGCAACTGATTTGTAGTATGTACATTAGTAAGATCTTTGCTAGCTTTATGTTTTAACAGCACCTGGTTTAGGTAAGTGTGACGACCCGTGCTGTTAGTCAGCAGTGACTGTGTGTTAACTGGTAGTTAATTGTACGATGGTTTGGTAATCAGTGCCTTCTGAAGACAACTGCGCCCAGACTATAAATCTAGGCTCTAGTCTCTCTCTTTGTGGCAGACTTTGTTTCTCCTTCACTTATTTCATGCATTCTACAACATTCACACACCACACTTGGCCTCCATGCATACCCTGCATTACTGACATTCACACCCCATGCTCTGTGATCTCTTTTCACTCTTACATTTCAGTTTTGTTAAATAAATTACTCGGTTTGATCTGTGGAATTTTGTGTCTCACATTCGTCATGGGTACTAAGAACATAGAAGGACTTTATACACATATTTAGTGATGGATTTCCAAATAGCTGGTGCAACCTGATCCTTGACATTAGTACAGAAACATCAGTGTTAAACTAAACGAGGTCTGACACATGAACTCAACATTTAGAAGAATTTATAAAACAAAAAAGGAAATTTTTTTTAAGGAATGCAGTTAGAGGCCATTAAAAAGTCAGTGGAAAGAGCAGCTCTGTTGACTAAACACACCTCGAGCAAAGCATGAAGACATCAGGTGAAACAGAGAACAATACGAGACAAAGATTAACGCATGGAAAAAGATAAGTCATAAATCAGATCGTCTGGGAAACATGAGACAAACTGGCAACCGAAGAAACACAAAGGCACGATGGGACAGAAAGTACCTTGAATAACAAAGCCAGGTGGCGATCCTTAGGGAATCAGGGAGAAGAGGCAGGAAGGAAGGGAGACACGCAAGGAGAGGGATGCAAAAAGGGCAGAGGTTAAAAACAATAGGGACCCAGTCAAGGAGAATTACAAGATTGAAGGTGGTAAATAATCACAGGGAGGGGGAGGAACACAAGTCATTTGTTTGACCTCTGGCAGCTACATATACATGTGTGAGTTCACTGACTTCACTGTTGGCAACAAGAATTACCATTATTATCAGTGCTTATGTTTGTGACTCATTTGTTCTTGTTTAATAATCAGAACATTGAGCTTTTTTTCACACAATAAATGTATCTGTAATTAATCAAGGCCACATCAGGGCTTTTTCTTTCATTTTTTTGTGTCTTTACAACAAGCCAAATGTTTATAGTATAAAGATGGGATTTCTACATGCTAGAGACAGATATCAGTGTGAGAGAGGCTGTGTGATCAGAACAAGTGTGAGTGTGGATGTTTTGACTCTTTGGCCAATAAAACACAATCTGTTCTGGTACAAACTCGACACTTGATTTGATAAACTCTCTGATATACGTACAGTTTAAGAGTTATCAGGTCTGTGAGAAACATCTCTTTGAACAGTGCAGGTTTAATTTACTGTACACACTCTTTGCTTCTACTTCTACTCAGCTACAACAACACTGGGAGGCTAAACCAATAACCAATTACCTTCTTTTTCCTCCAATGTAATGTGCAACGTATAATTCACTTCTGATGAACAGCACCGGTTGGTTATATGGTGTTTCTTACATGAGATGAACGTAGTTGCAGGGGTGTTTGTTTACCTTCCAGAAGAGGATGCTACAGTGTTTGCAGAAGTGCAAGGTGTCTCCGTACTGCTCCTTCATCGGATAATGTTTCTGCAGGGTGAAGTACATCAGCTTCCAGTCCACGTTATCGCTCTTGGTTAGGACCAAATTCCTACAGAACTGTACACGGATGGAAAGGAAACAATTAAAACAGCATTTAAAACACAGGGGACAGGAATGTAATTATAACTGGAAAAGTTTAATTAGATATAATTAAGGACAATTTGTCATTAACACCAACCCAACATGGGTGTTTATACAATGTGTGAGATAGTGTAAGTGTGTGTGTGTGTGTGTGAGAGAGCTATATCACTGTGAGCAAATTGAGGCAATTCTGCCCTCTAGTGGTCAACATGTGAACTGCACAGCAGCCCTCATCTCTTTGGATCATCACAAACTACTATTGGATGTTTTAAGCATAATAATTTTAAAATTATTATAAAAATCACAGATCTATCTAAAAACACTCCTCCAGTCCATGATTGAACTGATTAAATTAAATGCACTGTTCTCTCACCTGTTTGTCAGAGAAGTGAAAGTGGCAGAGTTTCTTCCACAACATCCTGTTCTCACTGAGGCAGTGCAGAGTAGGCGTGGCCTGTCCCAGG